TGGAATCCGCCGGTAAGCAAATGTGCCGAAAGGGCAGGTGAAAGTGGTCTTCGCCTGGTCCTCCGGGGCAATAGGGATCTGAAAGTACCCGGACATCCCATCCAAGAAGCAGTAGAACTCGTGCCCCGCCAATCTCTCCAGCATCTGATCAATGAACGGCAGCGGGAAGTGGTCCTTCCGAGTAGCATCGTTGAGACGCCGATAGTCGATGCAGACACGGTACCCAGTCACCGTGCGCATCGGGATGAGCTCGTTCTTCTCGTTAGGCACCACGATCATCCCACCCTTTTTGGGCACCACCTGGGTGGGACTGACCCACTCGCTGTCAGAAATGGCGAAGATGATCCCTGCGTCCATCAGCTTCACGATCTCTGCCCGAACCACAGCCTCCAGGTTCGGCGTCAGTCTCCTCTGCGGCTGCCTCACTGGCCGCATCTCATCCTACAGCAGTATCCGGTGCGAACAAAAAGAGGGGCTGATCCCCCGGATATCTGTGATCTTCCATGCCAAAGCTCGCTCGTACTGCTTCAGCAAGGCCACCAGTCTGGTCTTCTGCTCGGGTGTGAGGGTCGAGCTGATGATAACTGGCAGCTTATTCCCCTCCCGGAGAAATGCATACTCCAAATGAGGAGGGAGGGGCTTAAGCTCCAGCTCTGGTGGTTCCTCCAAAGAAGTGGTGATGCGGGTGGAGGATGAGATCGGTTTAAACAGCCTGTCGCCCTCCAAGAAGGGGCCACTCTCCAATGCGGCCAACTGCTCCGCCAGCTGCGACTCCTGCAATGCCTGCTCACCTAGCAAAATACAACGCTCAAGAGCATCATCAGTACCCGCACTCGTGATGGCGAGTGCGGTCTCATAATCGGCAAGCACATCACAGTAGTCTATGTCATCATGCAAATGAGAATGTTTCCCATTGTCAGACACAGAAAAAGTAGCATGTTCATCACCAGCACGCAGAATCAATTTACCACTATGCACATCAATAAGCGCCTTGGCGGTGGCGAGAAATGGTCTACCCAAAATCAATGGCACATCCACATCCTCATTTATATCCAAAATAACAAAATCAACAGGATATGTGAATGCACCAACATTAACAAGCAAGTCCTCAATGATACCCCTAGGATGCACGATAGAACGATCAGCTAACTGAATGCTCATCCTAGTAGCTCTAGGTTCACCTAGGTCTAGCTTCTTAAACAGTTTATAGGGCATGACATTAATACTAGCGCCTAGGTCCGCCAAGGACTTTCCTACATGCAGGCTGCCAATAACAAGAGGGATAGTGAAACTCCCTGGGTCTTTGCGCTTCTCTGGCAGCTTGTTCTGCAGGATGGCAGAACACTCCTCGCTGAGCATCACTGTCGAAAGATCCCCAAGTTTCTTCTTGTTGGTGAGGAGGTCTTTCATAAACTTGGCATACTTGGGCATCTTCGACAGTGCCTCTACGAACGGCATGCTGATGTTGACCTGCTTCAACATTGCCATGAACTTGGCAAACTCTGTCTCCAGCCTGTCTCTATGGAGTCGAGTGGGGAAGGGCAGCTGGGGTGTATGCTCCTTAACCACAGGTTGCGGCTTTGGAGCAGGTGCTGTGCTGCCTTCCCCCACCTCTGCAGTATCAGCTGGAGGTGTTGAAGCAGGTAGTGGTTCGTCTCGCCTGGGCTGAGCAGGAGCAGCAGATGTAGTCTTGCCACTCCTGGTGGTGATGACGTGTGCGGTCTCATGCGGGTCCCGTGGATTGGGAATGGTGGTGGCAGGCAGAGTCCCCGGTGCCCTGGTAGTGTTCTGGCGAGCTAGGCTCCCAATCTGATTCTGGAGATCCTGCAGAATGGCACCTTGGTTCCTCTGGCCTACCTCCAGTGAGGCGATGTTCTGATCCATCTTCGTGAAGTTCGCCTGACTGGTGGTCATGAAAGCCTGCAAAATATTCTTGAGATCAGATATCTGAGGATCTGGTGCTGCGGCTGCTGGAGGCTGAGCAAACTGGCGCTGGGGCTGCTGGAATGGCTGCCCTTGCCTAGGCTGGTAGGGCTGCTGCTGTGGTGGTGGCCCCTGCCTAGCCTGGAAGGGCTGCCTCTGCTGGAAACCACCTGCTGGTGCTGGGAAACCAGGTGGTTTGTTGGTGTTGTTGCTCCAGGCGAAGTTGGGATGCTGGCGCCATCCCTCATTGTAGGTGTTGCTGTACGGGTCCAGGCGCCGAGCATTTGCTATGAAGTCCACCTGCTCTTGAGGAGTAGAAGACTCCCTCATAGATTGACAATCCTCCACCAGGTGATTCGGACTCTCACACCACTGACACTGGGCTACTGGTGGCGTAGCTACACCTCGGCCCGGAAGGAGACTGTTAGGCTGCTTCAATGTCTGCATCAACTCAGCCACTTGCTGCTCTAACCCGGACCTAGCCTCCATAGCATGCACACCCCGGTCCCTGGAGTTCCTGCCTCTGTGGTTCTGCCCCCAGGAATGGTCTCGGGCAGCCAAGGTACTGATCATCTGGTTCAGCTCGGGTGGAGTCTTAGTAAGGATATCCCCTCCTGGGCATAGAGACTCAATCACCCTCTGGCTGTCTGGAGTGAGGGCGCTGTAGAAGTTCCCTACTGTGAAGGCATCGCTGAAACCATGATGGGGACACTGCCAGAAGTATCCCATGTACCGCTCCCATGCATCACGAAGGGACTCATCTGGCTCTTGGCGGAAGTGAGTGATCTCCCGCTGTATCTCCATGGTCTTCGATGCCGGATAATACCGGTGCACGAACTTGTCAGCCAGATCGTCCCAAGAGGTGATGGACAATGGGGGCTGGGTCTCCAACCACCTCTTAGCATTCCCCGCCAGAGAATGGGGGAAGAGGTGAAGGCGGATTGCATCATCCGGAACACCATTCAGCTTGAACCCGTTCGTCAGCTGCAGAAAACGGGAAAGGTGTACCCGGGCTTCCTCATCCTTCAAGCCATGGAACTGGATAGAGGTGGTGATGAGTTGAATCCAGCATGGCTTGATCTCGAAGTTGTTTGCAGGAATGGGCTGATAGAGGATGACCGGGCGGATGTCAGCAATCCGTGGAGTATAGAAGTACTCCAAGGTGGGACCCGGTGGTGGCGGATGATGATGGTTCCCAGGTCCCGGGGGGTTTTGGTCGTTCCCCAGGATCTGGTTCTGAGGAGGCGGGTTCTGATCGCCTTCCATCTCGTGCTCGTCCTCGGAGTCGCTGGTCAATTGGCCGTCTCGGCGCTCCACCGTAGCCAGTCTAGCTCGCTGCTGTCTCCGAAGTTGTTTGCAGGTGCGCTCAATCTCAGGATTCAACGGCAGTAAACTTCCCGACTGGCTACGGGTCATGCACTATCTGCACACAATCAAGCAACGCAAACCCCGTGAAGGCACAAGTGGGAGAAACAAAAACTCAATGCGAGAAAGTGAAAATGCTAAAGTAACATAAATCACTTTTCTTCAACAACCTAGCCGTCCCCGGCAACGGCGCCAAAAACTTGACTCACTCCTACTGTCACCCTAGAAAATGGCCAAGTATAACCACTTCCTAAAGCGTAGTATAGCGGGTCGGGTTTTAATGTCAACCCGGGTCCTAGATGTGATGACTACTCAGTGAAGTCTTGTTATTTAGCGGTGAACTTTTAGTGAAACTCAAGCAAACAAAACACAAAGCAAGTAAACGGTTTGTTGTCAAATCAAGAGAGGTCACCCGGATATGGTTCCCCCTAGACTGCAGTTAAGTCGGATTGCAATTTACCCAGTTCAGTTTTCATGAAAGTTATACTGCGGAAGGTTCTCAATTAGCCTGAAGTCTCGACTAAAGGTCTCCAGACCCTCTCAATCTGAGTCTCTAGCGGGCGACTAACCTCCACCGGAGTAAACAGATTGAGGCCCTAATGAACCAAACCTCCACTACCGAATTGACTTCGGTACAGAATAGCGAATTGGCTTCTCGACTAAAGTCACCAATTCGCCACCTTCGATTAAGGATACTCTATCAACCTAGGCAGATATTCTCATTCTAGGTTAAAGCAGAAACAACAGGAATTTGATCAGGATTCAAGTCATTCAATCATTCAAACCTCAGTCGAATATAATCAATTCACAAACTCTGTACTTGGGTTCATACAATCAGACCTAGCATACAAATCTAGGGTTCTCCATACCCAGATGAATGGGGAAACTACTCCATAGAGAAAGAAGCAAAAGCAGATTCAGACACGGAAATCATACTGTGAAGTTGGATTCCTGCTCCTGGACGTTTAATCGCACTTCTCCAAGCTCAAGACGGGCTCCAATGGTGTTGAAGATCGATCTATGGCGCTTGGGAACTCTGGTTCGACGCTTTCTCTCTCTAGGAATCGATTTCTCTCTCAAAAACTCGGAACCCTCTGAAAATTGGCCTTCTTCCTCTTTTATCAGCTGACCCTGCGATACCCGGTCGGGTATTTTATGGTTCGACCGGGTATTGTCGAAACGCGTCGTTCCACTAAAGGGGAAAATCCCCGGTCTACCACCAAAATCCCCGACCGGGGATTTATCGCCATCGCCCGGGCCCCCTTCTGTTTCTCACGGGTGCCCGAAGGAGGAAATACCCGGTCGAGGCCAGAATATACCCGGTCGGGTATTTCTTCCTTTGACCGGGTATTTTGGTCCAGCAGCATCCTTTGTCCAATCTTCGCTCCTTTCGATCCGGAACTCGTTCCTTCGCCTTGATTCCAACGCCAGGACCTGAAATGTAACATAAACACACAACCTAGCGTAAAATCGGCTTAAAATACGAGATTACTCATCACAAACGACTTCAGAATAGGGGTGAAAACATATATAATTATCGGTCTATCAATGGCGCATGCATATCGCATTATGAATCACTCGAAGAAGGTAAGATTCTGAATCTCTGCACTTCCCTCGCCCCCGATTACGCTTTGATTCACTGAAACGGCGATTGGTTCAGGTTCATGCTCTGGTGGTGAGCAACGAAACGACGATTGAAGCTGGGATCAGAGATGAGGGAGTTCCACAGCTTGCAGACGGGTTTGCAGAGGAAGGCGGATCTCGACGAGGAGGTCGTCTCCGAGTTTACTGATGGCGGATCTCGACGAGGAGGTCGTCTCCGAGTTTACTGATGGCGGAAGGAGGGTTTCCTTCTGAACGGATTCGTCGCCGTTTTCTGGGGGCGGGACGGTGGAAGAGCTCGCTTAACGGCAGATCCCATTCCACGTTGCAGTTGTCGGAGACCATGGCGATAGACAAACAGACGGATTGAGGAAAGATAACTACGATGCCGGCGCCGGGGGAGAAAAGATGCGGTAGTATACGAGCTCGGGGAGAAAGATTCCTTCCAAAAACATAGAGAGGAAGAGGAGGCAAAGAAAAAGGTATGTGTTCTTGTTTTGTCTAATCTTGGGCAGGTTTGCTTTCTGTTCATAGAGAAATTCAAGCTACATTCATGACCGGTTGTTGTATGTTCCATCTCGTCTTATTTTAAGCGGAGGGCTGAGGATGGAACGGATCGATTATATGCATAGTTAGTGGATTATTCCAAGGGGACACAACTCCTGGCTCAAAGACTGTTGTTAGGGGCAGACTGATCAATCCCAATGACAAAGTGAAGTATGATTCTCAAGTTTAGTCTGTATTACTTCACTATCCTTTGTAGAAGTTTATTTCCACTGTTATGTCCCGTCTATGCCCATTTGACAGTATGGATGCATGAAATCTTTTTCTTCTATTATTTAAAACATGTAGATTTATATGTTGATTCCTTGTTTTCTGTATGTCTCTACATGTTTCATATATGTGACTAAGGGAGGAGGATGAACATGAATTGAGGTGGTAAGTGAATCAGTTAACAATTTTGCTGCCATGAGCAATTTCCAGAGGGTGCTTAATGATTTGTGGGTTTAATTAAACTAATTTCAGGGCAGGAGGATTACAACAGGTTCAGGCCACTGAGCTACAGAGGAGCTGATGTGTTCCTACTGGCTTTCTCCCTCACCAGCAGAGCTAGCTACGAGAACATTCACAAGAAGGTACCCTGATTTCTCACGCTCTCGATCCACTTTTGGTTTTTTTTTTTCATATTGGAATACGGTTTCTGTTCTTGAGATGATGATGAGCTGCTGCTATAGTGGATTCCCGAACTGAGGCATTATGCAGCAAATGTGCCCATTTTTCTAGTGGGAACCAAACTAGGTAAAGCCAACTACATTGTTGGCTCACCTGTATTAGTTTATCATAAGTTTACTATAGTGGAATGAAGTAAAATACTTGATTTGGGTTCATGTGTTGCAGATCAAAGAGAAGACGAACAGTACTTAATTGATCACCTTGGAGCAGCTCCCATCATTACAGCACAGGGAGAAGAACTGAAGAAAATGGTTCTTATCCAGATCCTTCAACAAAGTGTTCTTTTGAAGTACAAGTGAGTTACTTTGCTGTCTTTTTGGTTGGATGCGTCAAATAAATACTTAATGGGGTATTATTGATTATATTCTATCATTTTGATTTGTAAAGTGTCGGTACTTGTGGTAGAAGTCAGCTGCTACAACAAACTATTTATGTCAATTGATCTCCACCTGCCAATGGTATATCATTGTCTTATAAGTAGTTGCCTCAAATTGTAGGTACGCCATTTCCTTTTTAAAAGATCATGGCAAAGAGGTGTGTATTGAAGTTCACAGTGCATACATCTACACAATGAACAAGGTGAACTATTTTGTCTTGTATATTTTGGAGGGTCATGGTACCTGTTCTCGTATAGTTGCAATGGGGCAAGCAGGTTCTTTAGTTTTGATTCCCTAGCTCTGAGTTCTGCAGGTTCTAATTGCACATTTCTGTGCATACATTCACGCGTTGGAGAACTTGCAGTTATATTTATAGCGACTTCTAGTGATTTGATTGGTGTGGAGACCAGAAGTGCTGGTTTGTTTTCGAGAGCCAGAGAGCCGCTGAAGAATCGATAAGCTGTTTTTTGCTTTGGGAGATAGGATTAACAACTTGAAGGTTTATATACTTCTATCTAGTTGTCTCTCCTGACCAAGTCCCTCTTTGGGTGATTTGGGGACCCTTCCAGCTGATGGTGCTTTCATCCTTGTCATTGTTGTCGGTCTGAATTTCTTAACAGGTTTAATTTATTTTTTAGGTTGGACAAAGGTGTGATTGTATATGGAGAACCCACATTTGGCAAAGGGTAGGCATATGCTCGCTTTAGCTCTAGCTTGGTATTTTCTTTGTGTCAAATACTTGATTTGGGTTCATGTGTTGCAGATCAAGGAGAAGACGAACAGTACTTAATTGATCACCCTGGAGCAGCTCCCATCACGACAGCACAAGGAGAAGAACTGAAGAAAGTGGTTGGTGTTGTGCCTTACATTGAGCGCAGCTCCAAAACTCAGCAGGTTCGTATATTTATCAGCATGTTAATCAAGAAAAAAGAAGGCATATTAATATGTAGCATAAACTGCAGCAGCATCCATCCATTTATGAATGAAGACTATGTTTGATAGTGTTGTTTTGTGAATCAAAATGTGAAGACGGTGTTTGATGCCGCGATAAAGATAGTTTTGCGACCACAAAAGTCGAGGAGGAAGCCTCGCAGGCAAAGGACATGCACCACCCTTCAGCAATCAGCAAGATCTAGTTGTCGAGGTATCGCCAGAGTCAAACTGGTTCTAAGGAATACAAGACACGTGCTGCAATTGGTGTAAGTTTTTCTCAACCCCTATTACATATCAATCTGGTCCCTATGTTGGATCAGTCTACTTATGTTAGATAAATTATGGTATAAATTTAATAACCAATCATATGCATATCAATCTCAGGCACCTCAAAGAGAAGATGAAGAAGACAACGTCGTTAAAATCAAAGTAGCCTTGCAAAAAATGCACGAGGTATGTCCTTGAATAACTAAGAACTCATTTCCAACTCTCTATGTTCGTCAAACCAAAAAATAAACCGTCAAAGGCTGCACTTGTTGTAAATCAACCAAGCTAAAAGATTCTGTCCCATCAATTTCAATGAACAAATAACAAAAACTGAGTGCTTTTCAACTCCTTGCTCTGGATGTTGTTCAACTTCTTGCCCTGTCTGTGTTGTTCAACTTCTTGGCATGTCCCCTCTTCTAAAACATAAAAAACAAGATAGAAGAATATTGAAACTCTAACTTTTAGCAAAGGTTCTCATACAATATATACATTAGGCAAGAAACGAACACCGAAAATGTAAAATCCATAAAGGCTTTCATTTAATTCCAATACGATGCAATATATTAATTTAACAAAAAACAAACCTGTTGAGCTTTTTGAGTTTGACTTTCTGAATACTTAGTGGAAGGTTCAACACTATGTCTCGTATGCTGCTTAGCTCCCTTCTCTTGTCGACTAGGCATAGTATTACTCCTAGTACGTGCCCCGATCTGTCACAGGAGGACAACTTAACTCTTAAGCTAATAGCTGCTTCAAACAAATTGACAATTTGGTGAATAAACCAATGCTACTTAACCTTCTGTGGTGGCTGACTTTTTCCTACGGATTCTACAGTTGTATTATGCCTACTGGTTCGCTGGTTCGGTAAAACCAAAATAACAACTTTAATTTATTGACTCTAATAATTATATCAAGAACACATAATCAGAGATGCTAATTACCTTTGGGGGTTGACCACCTTGGTCATCATCTTCTTCATCATCGTCTCCATCTTCTCCGTCATCTCTATCATCGTCCCCATCATCGTCCATGTCATCATCTTCATCCTCATCCTCCTCATCTGACTAAGATTCTATCACGTCGGCTGGGGGGTTAGTACAAGTGCTCCTATAATGCCCATCCCTGAGCCCGCAGTTTCCACACTTTCTTCTTTTTTTCTTAAGCTATTTTTTCCCTTTTCCTTTCCTACAGCCCTTAAACCTCACTTGTTTAGGATTCAATACACCTTTGAACTTGTCGGGTATGACAATCCTTTCTCTCTCGGCGGGGGTTTTCTTTTGCATCTCCAACTTGTTGCATGCTGCTGTCAACTCCCCTTGAGCCAGACGATAAGAGTCAGGAGACTCTGCCCCCAATAAGCAGAATCGCATAGTGGAGAACTGTAGTGACCCGTACCTAATACTGAAACTGCTGTCATCCCCCAATGAAACGGGTTTTGGAAGAGTGGTTAATGACTTAGGGTTCTTTGAGCAACGTCGGAGTACAAGTTTTTCAGGAAAACTCTTCACCCTTTCTTCTTTCAGAACAAAGATCATATGAGCGCACGGTATTCCAATACTCTTAAACATTTCACAACTGCACTCCAAATCTTTCGTTTCAATGTTGTACTTCACCTCCACGGCCTTCTCTTTTTTGAACATGGTTACAGTGTAGGTGTGTAAATTCCCCTCTTCAGTTTGCTTATCCTTTATGACTCCAATAACCTGCTCCAACTCAGCTTTGAATTTTATAAATGCAGCTTTTGAAAAAAGCTTCGCTGCACTTTGTTTGAGGGGCAATAGGATTGTGTTCTTTACCGGAACTAAACCATAATTAGACTCAAAGTCTAATCTAACCTCTGTCTCCCTCATGTCCCTGATCCATCGGTCGTATTGAATAAAAAAGTCGAGCAAATTGATCCTCTCATGTCCATACCTAGCAACAACTGCATTCATGCTTTCACATCTTGATGTGGTTTTCAACCCAGCAAAAAAGTGGGAGCGCAAGTATGTGTCCGCCCATTCATTACGTCTCCCATATAGGTTTTTCGACACCCATTGGTTGTTCTGGAGTTCACATTCCTCTACCAATGCATTCCACTTCTCCTCAAATTCACCTGGCTCGTAATCAGCAGTTACAAAGTGACTCCATCGGGGTTCAAAGTCTGGTCGGTTCTTCACCCTGCTAGTGATATTCTTGGACAAATGCCAAGCACATAGCCGATGTGTTGCATTTGGGAACACATTAGCAATAGCCTTCCTCATTGCTTTATCCCCATCTGTGACAACTGTATGTAGCGGATTTCCCCCCAATATTTCCTTCACTATATTCAACGCCCAAGTATAGGTTTCTTCAGTCTCGTTAGGCAACCAGGCACTCCCAAATAAGCAAGATTTGAAATGATGATTGATACCTGCATGGTCAACCAGAAACTCGGAAAAATCAGAAACTTTTGTTACTTTCAGTGATATTAAACACGAGTCTGAAGCCCACAATAAATTTTTAGTTTGGTGTACATTAAACCTGCTGATCTCTCCTGATTCTTTGTTGCATTTTCAGTTTGTTCTAATGAAGTTCATATTATTGACGTTTCTCACTTAATATATCCGTCACTAATTAATGGCTCTACCTATCTGCTCAAAGCATTTACCTAATTACTCTCTTGTTAAACCTCTTCCAAAATTTGTTGCTTCCACTGGCCTCACTTCCCCAAATTTAAAAAGCTTATTAACATGGAAGGACCTGCTCAACTGCACCAGCTCTATAATAACACCCTGACCATTCACCATAATACATGAGAAAATCCAATTCCATTCAAAAATTTCCAATCATTTGAAGGAGGAAACAGAACATCAAAACCAACCGATCATTTCAACAATTTGTATCTTAGTTAGCAGTTTATGCTACTGTTTTCTGGATGACATTATGTGTCTTCAAAACATAAAGAAAAGGGTAATGTTAAGAGGGCATATTAGAATGACGTACCTTTGAAAATAACCAACGGCATATTGTAAATGTTTTTTTTGTACGTTGTGTCAAATGCGAGCAACTCTCCAAAACATGAAATGTCTGCTAGGCTAATGCTGTCAGCCCAAAATAAACTATGGAGCGCGTTTTCCTCTGTAGTGTATCGGAGGAGGAAGTGTGGGTCTGTGCTTTTCTTTGATTCTAGATAGGCAAGTGTCGTTGCTGCATCACCCTCGCTGATCCTTTCAGCACGATCTCTGGTGCAAAAGTTTAACCCATCTCTGACTGTATAGCCAAGTTTGTCATGCCCTCCAGCACTATGCACAGCTAGCTTAATCGCTTGGGATGGTTTCATCCCGGCATCCTTTTTAAATCGAAGGTCTGCCTTGTCTGCTTCTGTTAACCCTCGATGCGATCGCAAGTGGTGTGTCCATTTCTGCAGTAGTGGTTCATGAGTGTGCTGTTGGATAAATATATCCACAATCCACTTCGAATCTTCATTATTTAACTTCACACAAAACTTAGCTTTGCATTCAAATCTAGTTAGCATGGGCGACTCTCTCTTTTGTTCGCCTTTGTGTGGGTTTCTATGTCCCTCACAGGAACAGAGAAAGGTTGCGCTTGTAATCTCACGCTTACTCTTCCGGACTGTCTTCGACCGCCTAACAGAAAAACCCCATTCCTTTGCATAGTTGTTGTAGAACGTATATGCTTCCTCTATATTATTGAATACCTGACCGATAAAAGGTGGATTTGGAATAACAACTTCTGGTACAGTCTCTTCTGCAGTAGGACCAGCAGCGTTTGTGGTCCCTGTTTCTTGTAAGATTTCAACGTCACTGTCCTCCATGTTGTTGTTATGATCTCCATCTTCCTCCATTGTTTTGTACCTTTAAGTTTCTTCTAGTTTGGGGGATCGGCAGGAATGAAGAGAAGCAATTGTTTGATCGTTAGTCCTTCTAGGTTTATTTATATTAGGTGTATGTGTGCTATTTTAAATACATGAAGGGCTAGGTTATTTTCTCAAGGGCTCGGTTATAAGGGCCTTAATGGGCTTAAAATTCTGTCCATCTTTAAGAGTTCTTTCATGTTAGGCTTCGTTGTGCTATTTACATCAGTATTTATGGGAAAAAGGATTTTATTAACCAATCCTCTTTTGGTGGTGTTATTGCTGCTGGTGGTTTGTGGTTGAGCAGCTTGCTTTCTTGCTTCTGTATGCTTCTGGTGGTGGTTTGTGGTTGAGCAGCTTGCGTCTGACACATATATCGTGGGTGTTTTAACAGGAAGATGAGTTGACGGGCTCAATCGCTGCATGCAAGGTAGAATCTGATGTTCTGGGCACGTGGGTTAACTTCTTGGAGGACACTTGGGTTCTCCAGCGCTCCTATGTGGATTCTCTATCTGAGGTTTTGTGTTCGCCGTTTTTTTTCCCCTTGTTTCAAAGTGATGAGCTGGAGAAACATGAGGAGTACTTCACGAACTTGGCCGTCAATCTTCTATCTGATTACAAGGTATCATTGCTGTGTATTTTGGGGTTGTACAGCTTAAAACTTCAAATGCAACTGATGTTGATGATAGCCTGCTTCTTTTATATTCTTTTCATGCTTCTGACCATGAGTTCCCCTTGTTATGTGATAGACCGTCATTTACACATTTGCGTGTCAAGTTTTTGGCGCCGTTGCCGGGGATCCCTCTAGATTATTGGGGAAACGTGAGAATTTGTTACTCTAGCTTTTATTTACTGCATTTTATCTCTTCCACCTGTGTGCCTTCACGGGTTGCTTCTGCTGATTGTGTGTAGGTAGTGCATGACCCGTAGCCAGTCGGGACCAGGAGCTTGAACGAACTTGCAGGAACTTCAAGCGGGCTCTAAAGGCGCGACTGGCTGCGGAGGAGGCGCTAACACAGCTGCAGTTAGGAGAAGAAGAAGAAGGAGAGATGGGTGATCCGCAGAACCGTGCTGTGATCCCCGAGGAGCAAACCATGGGATCCTACTGGACCGCTAGGGCTGCGGACATGAGGTCACCCATTCAACACCCTCAGGTCCCAGCCAACAA